CAGCAGCAGCAGCAGCAGCAGCAGCAGCAGCAGCAGCAGCAGCAGCAGGACAGCGCTCCGTTCAGCACCCCGAACAGCTCCGCCAGGATGAACGGGCTCAGCCACGGCCAGGGCACCATCGCCATGAAGGACCACGATGCCATCAAGCTCTTCATCGGGCAGATCCCCCGCAACCTGGAGGAGAGCGACCTCAAGCCCCTCTTCGAGGAATTCGGCAAGATCTACGAGCTGACAGTGCTCAAGGACCGCTTCACCGGCATGCACAAAGGTAGGGCCCCCCGGTGCGCCCGCCGTGCCCACGCCAGGAGCCACAAAGGGGAGGCAGCCTGGGCAGGGAGCGCGCGGGAGCCCATTCAGAAACACGCTGCCATGACATAAACACCAGCCCCGCCGGGTCCCAGGGGCGCCCGCCGGCTCCAGCTGGGCAGCTCGCGCCCTCCCCTCCCCCCAGCCGCCTGGGGATTTGAGGGGGGAGGTGGGAAAGTTGGGTGGGAGGCTGAGCGGTGTGGCCAGCTATTTCACACTTTTCTTGTGGGGTTGATCGGGCTGCGTGTGCCATCAGGGCTGGCGTGGCTTGACAAATCTGCCATGAAGTCATAGAGAGGGGGAAAAAAGCCCTGGGAGTTCCCTCCCTTCCCCTTCCTCCACCCTTCTTGGCTTAGTTCGGCTGGGGTAAGAGGAGGGGAAGAGGCTGCAACTTTTTCACAGGCTTTGGTTTCCTAGCTGGAAGGAAAACCATGGAAGATTGAGGCTGAATGGACACAAGCCCTTTAAGCACTAAGGTGTTGTTTATGGCTGGGATTATTGTGTGTGGGGGGGGTAGATCTTGCAGGGAAAGATGGTGTGTGTCATCTGTTGACAGCTGTTATCTTCCTTGAATGAAGAAAATGAGAGGGGAGCAGTGGGGGGAAGGAAACTGTCCTGGAAAGGATTTACCTGTTGGGTGACTTCTTGCAACTGTTGGGAAAGTAGCAGCGTGCCAGAAAGAAATGGGCAAATCAACTGAGCAGCAACAGCAAGAGCCTCTCCGAAAACCCAGCATTAGCTTGACCCTGAAGGAAGGCTCTGAATTTGAATACGCTCCCCATGCCTACCAGATGGATTCTTGGGGGCTGGGGGAAATCATAGCAACAGGTTGTGTAATTTTTTAAAGAAGCCAGGAAGTCTGGCTGGGTTTGTAGATCCACATCAGACGCTGTTTGATAAGGCATTGCCTACACACGCAGGCTACTTGTGCTTCCAAATCTCGGCTGAGCTTTAAATGTGTCATCGAATATTCTCTGCTCTTCAGAATGATTCACTTTGAGGGTGTGGAGGGATGAAAGCCAGTACATTTCAGGGCAACATCAATGCAGGGTTTTTGAGCATTCCCCTTCACATCAAGCCAGCCTCTGGGAAAAGCACAACAATAACAAAATCGCCCCATGCCTGCGTAACTTTAGCCAGGCTTGGCTGTATGGTGATGCTCCCCTATTGAATACAAAGCAAAGGCCTCGTAATCATGATTGTCTTCTCTAGTGCTGAATGAGGAGTTTATACCCTGTAGTGTGCCTGGGAAAACATTATTCCTTGCTTTCCAATATATCCTAGGCAGGATTCGTAAGATGAGGTGGTTATATAATGCTGAGTTCCAGTTCAGGTAGAAATGGATGAGGACTGAGACAGAGAACAGCATATTAAGGGATTAATGACTGGAGAAATCAAACTCTTTGCAGATCTCTCTTTAAAACAAACAAACAAGCCAGACCATTCCCATCCCTACAGAGCAGGGACAGGGGAAGATATGTGCCTCCCACATGGAAATAACAGAATGGTTTCTGAGACAGAAAATGAGACCCCAGGTTGCAGATAGAAGCAGCAGGACCTGGAGCTTCTAGGAAGCCAAGATGAAACTTGGCATTTAACATGATGGATAGATGCCTGTTACACAGCTGGCAGCTGCCTGGTCATTTTGACTCTCTGGTCCTCAGTTCAGTAACTGAGCATCCAGTATTTCTTTGTGTGCTTTCCTACGACCAGTTTTTCCACCCACCCAGAATGCTAACAATGCAGGTGCAGTTGATATTTTTTATAAACAAAGTACATACGACTTCCTTTCTTTCATGTTCATAAAAAAGTCGTGTTCAATCTATCTGTCTGTCTGCCTGTCTGTCTATCTCTCTCTCTATTTTTGGGAAGACCTTCCCCCACTCCTCCACAATCAAGCTTTAAATATCCTGCTCAATATAGGCAAACCAATGTCACACACTCATTTAATCAAATCTGCCATCCCTCCCTTCTTTTTAAGCTTTAGAGTGGCAATAGTTCTGACTCGCCACCCCAGAACTTTGGCAAACATTTCAGGCTCACATATACAGTATTCTGCAAAATCCACAGAGGAAGATGCTGAGTTGATTTGAAAGGGTAAACACTGTAAATGCATATTGCGGAGAGGGAAGAGGAACATGTAGCTGGTAGCTGCAGAGATCGAGGTTGAGATTCTCAGTTTTCCATCAGCAACTTTCTTAAAATATTGAAAACCGATGCTGGTGCCTGGGTGGATTCCCTCCATGTTACATGGGAAAGTAAATACATTAAACATCAGGGAAGTTTCAAGGTGGTTTTAAACAAACAGAAAGAATCATCAGCTCCCAATAGCTGTTGTCTATCTGATTGCATGCTGATGGCAACACTCTGCCTTGCCCCACTGCTGAATTCCTTCTATTTGAAGGCGTGATGATTGCACTTATTAAGAGTTATTAATACTTAATCATCTGGCAGATTTAATTGTGCCAATATTAAAAATGCATCAATGTCAATTTCATTCATTAAATATTTACTTTTTTGAAGGGAAACTGTTTTGCTGCTGTTTTAATATCACTTTAAGAAGCTTTGAATATGACCTAATAAAATAATTGGAAAAGAAAGACCCACAATTATATAGATTTATATATAAATATATATGTATATATACTAGGCTGGAAGCCTTGCCAAAATTCCTACCCACTTGCCTTGGGCAAGTAATTCTATTGGCAATTGGCTGATAGCATTTTGGGCATTTGTTTCATCAGCACCGAGGGCAAATATATTTTGTACCTCAATGGGTGAATGGTCAGGATGATTTTGCCACGTCTGGACGGAAACAGAGCAGGCTGTATTGTGCAACACTTATTCATAACAACGAGCTCTTACTCCCACGACTCCGGGGGAGCTACTCACATGAGTAAGCGCCGAGCAACGTGAGTCAGCGTTGGAAAATCTTGCGCGACTGGGTATTTTGGATTCACCAGCTGCAGCGTGTGCTAGTGAAAGAGTCAGAAATGGAGACCTTTGCTCATTCCAAGTAGCACTTCACACTTTTAGATCAATAGGATTGCTTGCTGAGCAAGGGGCTGGGAAGGAGATCAGACTTTGGCCGGAAGAGATGGGGTTAAAAGATCTCTAAATTCAGCCTTGTAAATTAGCCCTAAAAATAAGATTATAAATTAACTGCACAGCAGAAGGCAGATACTCCCTCTCTCTCTCCCTCTCTATCTATCAAATGTTTTCCTAGCACTTAGAACTGGAAGGGGACCATCTGGCCTGGGATTGATGCATAAGGTCAAGAGTTCTGTCTAGCACCCCTCTTGCCCCACCTTTAAAAACCAAGACAAACCAAAGCCAAGTCAGTCCTTCCTTAAATAGTTGTACTAAGCCATCCCCTGAAGCACTAAGTCCATCTCTGAGTTTTCCTCAATACAATCGGACACAATCATTCTCTAAAACAAAATCCTGGAACACAACCAACGTCCCATTGGCAGCAAAACCCTTTGCATTCCCCATTTCATTTGCTCCTTGTTTTATATTTGTTGTTGTTCTTCTTCCCTTTCCTGTGCCCACCCCTTTGCTCTTTGATCTTTCCTCTGTGGTCCCCCCCACACTTCCCCTACTGCCCAACTCCTCTCATTTAGGTTTGGTTGCCCTGGGTCACAGCTGAAATTCAGCCCTGTCTGACAGCTTCAGGTTTTGGTGACTGAATTCAAATATGATTTTGAAATTTAGCCTCTAGACCCATATTCAGTGACTGAGCTGAAGGAGATTGGAGAAAGTGAATCAAAATGTCTAAAGAGAGATGAAAAGGAGATGGGCAAAGGAGGAAATAACCAACAGCTTCAGTGTTGTTCCTTTCAAACATGATGGTACAGAGTTGGGGAAATGCGCACACACAGGCACACAACACAGGCGATCTGCACCAACACATCTCAACCTTTCCCCTTTTGTACTGATAGCAATTAATAACAACAATGCGCAGTCCTCTATAGTGATACGTGGTGCTTTTTGTGTGCAAGGATCAGATCCCGTGGTGCTTTACAAACTGTGCCTGTGGACATGAATAGGTGTTTACTTCTTTACATAGAAAAGGTTTCTCTTCATGTTCTCCCTGCGTCCTCCCACCCGTGGAAATGCAGCTGTCTCTGGGATGGGTCACTGTGCACATTTGCCAGTGCTAAACACAACGGGTTCAGGGCAGAGGTGAAGAGGACTGAGGTGTCTAGTTCAGTGTGCATGTGTTTTGGGGTGGGGTGAATTTAGGAAGGTTGAAAGCAAATACTAGAGTTGGAATTTAGCTAGAAAGCTTGAGTGAGGTCTATAAACAGCTATGTGTCTGTAAGACGTGTGTGTGTATGTAGATGCCGTGTGTGTGTGTGTGTGTGCGTGCGCGCGTGAGAGAGAGGGAGACAAGAGCAAGCTCTCTCTGCTGACATAGCAGGCTTACAGGCACTGTCTCCATTGGCACATTTTGGCTACCCCCTCCCTTCCCCTCCAGTAACAGCAGCAACTGAGAGAGCTGTGCTGGGCAGCAGCATTTTGAGTATGGTGAGGTGCAGAACTGCACGCAGCTGGGTTAGCAGACACAGTGCCAGACACCCCTGCATAGACTCACACTCCCCGCAGGGGAGCCAGAGATGCATTAGGTATGGTGGTAATTCTTAGGGATTAAAGGAGGGTGGAGATGGAGGCAAGGAGAAGGGGGTCAGTTCATACTCCAGGTCTGAGAGAGCTGGGAACAACAATCCTCCCCATGGGCCTTTTCCAAACCATGGTGGGATGCCCAATGTGCCCTCACAGAGCTGGATCAGGCCCGGGTCTTTGATGGTCCCATTTGTTACACCAGAGCCTAGAACAGGCTCTGCCTCCCTCCTCCCTATTGCTGAGGTGGCCTGGAATACATCACAACCCCTGCAGGTGGGATTGGCTCACCCAGAACAATGTCCTCCTGAAGTCAAGCTGGAACCTTTCCCCCCAATG